CAGGCAGAGGGAGAAGCAAGCTCCATGCACCGGGAGCCCGACGTGGGATTTGATCCCGGGTCTCCAGGATCGCGCCCTGGGCCAAAGGCAGGCGCCAAACCGCTGCGCCACCCAGGGATCCCCTAAGCCTCCAACTCTTGATCTCAGCTCAAGTCTTAATCTTAGAGTTGTGAGTTCAGGTCCCACTTTGGGCTTCATGCTGGGCATGGAGCCTATTCTTAAAAAGTATTATTAAAGTTATTATGGCTTTATAAAGCAGAACTGGGAAACATTCTATATTTTTCTTTAATTTAGATTACTTCATTAACATTAAAATTACTTGTTTTTTAAAAGTTAACTAGAACTCACCCATGCAACCATCCTATCCTTTTTAATGATTAATCTGAAATTACCTTCCAAATCTCTGTTCTGGAAGTTGGTTTACTCAAGCCTTCTACTTTGAGAGAATTTGAACATCTTTTTTTGAAGGCTCTTTTTATTTTTGCAATGTCACTTAATACAAAAGTGACATAAAATGTTTTTATGTTATAAAAACCAACAGTCTTAACAAGTCTACAATAGAATACTTGAACAAAAAATCTATATACATTATCCTTTACAGCAATTTTACACAGTAAATTAACTGATCATTTAAAAATGTTTTTTTTTTAAACCCCTCTGCTATCTTACTTCTTGGAGTATTTATTATAGGTAAAGAACCAATCTAGTGCTATTTACAGGTACAAAATTAAGACCATATAACTTACATGGATTCCATTAATTTAAGAGTTTGATTTAATATCCTTGACTATTCAGTGTTCTGTATGAGGAAAAAAAAATCCACCTTGACATATTGCCAAAGAGCCAAAAGTTCAATTTCCATAAAAATATTAAAGGTATCCAATTCTGAGAATACCTAGTCATCGGATACCAGTAAAGAAAGCTAATGCTACGTTGATGCTAGATTTGAAGTATCTATTAAGTTAATATATTTTTGGCTGAAAACGTATTCATTTCCTTTAGGCTTTAAATTTTGTTGTCATAGCATTTCACATAATATTTTCCCAGTGTTTGCTCATTGTGAGTTTTATTTTGCTTTCCATTATATCAATAGTTATATTTCCTGTCTCAGGTCTCATAATGCACATATTTATTTACTATTGTGTGAAAAAGAAAAGTATGGGTTCTAAGATCCAGCCTGTGGGGGCTCCCTGCTCAGCAGGGAGTCTGCTTCTCCCTCTTTCCTCTATCCCTACCCTCACTTGTGCTCTCTCTCAATTGAATAAATAAAATCTTTTTTAAAAAACCATCATTTAGGTGTATAGTTGAGTAAATTTCAGAGGATAATAAGATGCTTTACACAAATGAGAACATCTGCAGTCACCCCAGGAATGATGAAATTATAGGGCTATCAATCCTCATGCTACAGGGCATGGGCTGATCACCATCTGGAAAAGGAAAGATTTTCCCTATGGTATTTCTATAATATCATCAATTACATTCAGATTTTTATGTCCCTTTAAACACAACTCATTGGAGGACTTTATAGTACATTTTGGCCACATAGTGCAACATGAGGGGAAATCTTCAAAAGTTTACCAAAAATTTTTAGAGAAATGAATTCAAGAAAAATCATAAACTCTCAGGGAAGGTAAACAGAATAACAAAGAAGTTAACAAAGATCATTTTGAGTATTTCCTACACACACAGGCTTGACAGAGAGAGAACTTAGCATTTGATGAATGAATGAATGCATGAACAAAGAAGCAAAATTATATGTGCCTGGATTCAAATCCCAGCCTCACCAATATCTGACCTTGAGTACTTTGTTTATCCTCAGATTGCTCATCTTTAAAATGAGGATAATTGTGCCCACCTCCTTTTGTTATCACAGGGATTGAACAAGGTAATCCATGTAAATAAATAAACCCACTGCCTGAAACAGAATGAACACCTTAACAAATGACAGCCATTGTAAGAGCTCTCCTGAGATTGATTTAGCTAATTCCTATCCAAATAGATCTAACAATTAAATTATATCAATATATTTCATAATAGGTCAATTCTTCATGTATTGATTATATTATAAATCTGTATTATATTAAGTCTCTGTGAAATCAATGGTGTATTACACTGCAAACGTTCCCTGAAATTATTTTATTTTTAACTTAGGATGCATTTTCTGCTAATTAGCAGATCTCTCAGATGGTGTCTGTCTGTTTGGGCTGCTAAAACAAAATACCACGGACTGGGTAGCTTATAGACAATAGAAATTTATTTCTCACATTCTAGAGGCTGGGAGTTATAAGATCAAGGTGCCCACAGATTTGCCATGTGGTGAGAGTCTGCTCTGTCATAGATGGTGGTCTTCTCATGGTACCCTCACAGGGTGGAAGGGAGCAAGGAGCTTTCTCGGGCCACTTTTATAAGTACACTAACCTCATTCATGAAGGCTCTGCCTTCATGGACCAATCATCTCCCCAAGACCCTGCCTCCTATTATCAGCAGCCTGGGGGTTAGTATTTCAAGCTGTGAATTTTTGGGAGACACATTTAATCTATAGCAGATGGTATACTATGATAAGCAAAGTTCAAATCCGTAAAAAGAGTATCTGCTACTCACCTTGAAACGTCCATAGCCCTGGTCCAAGGCTACTGGGACTTTCAGCCAAATGTGTAAAAAAAAAAATCCTGGAAAGGATTGTAAATTATGGGTGGTACTGACACCCCTTTCTAACAATTTCTTTTTTTTTTTTTTTAATTTTATTTTATTTATTTATGATAGGCACACAGTGAGAGAGAGAGAGGCAGAAACACAGGCAGAGGGAGAAGCAGGCTCCATGCACCGGGAGCCTGACGTGGGATTCGATCCCGGGTCTCCAGGATCGCGCCCTGGGCCAAAGGCAGGCGCTAAACCGCTGCGCCACCCAGGGATCCCCTAACAATTTCTTAATAATTAACTATTTGGTATGAGCAAATTCTCTTGGGACTCATAGATACATTCTGCAGACACAGATAATGTTCCAAGCCCACATGAAGAAATTGTATGGATGTAAACAGAGTACATATGCCTTTTTAACTCAGTTAAAAACCAAATTAAAAATAAATTATATAGTATTTGTGATTAGCATAACCTTAAATAACTCCCTCCCCCCCTTCCCCAAACAATAATCAAGTGCTGTTTTCATTGCAACTGAAGAAGGTTTTGGAAAGATAATCTAGTTTTATTGGACTATTTCTCCAAGGGAGGATTATGGGCCATTTTTAACTGGGCAGTAAAGTGCTTTTAAATTGTAAATGTTGTTGCATATACTCAAGTTACCTCTTTTTTGGAAGGTGAAAAATATAAGATTTCTTAGACTTTAGAAAGAGTTTTTACCATTTATTTATGAATCACTCAGCAAAAGGCAGCCACATACTCTTTCAAATAGGCTGCTATCGCAGAATGTCACTGTCACTTGACTCAAAGATTTTTCTTTTTCTTTTTCTTTTTCTTTTTCTTTTTTTTGTTTTTTTGGAGGGGCAAGGGGAGTTCCTCTTCCTCCTCCATCATCAAATGAACAGTTCTGTGGGCGAGAGGCAGGACCAGATATCTCCATCAATATTTGGGGATAGGGAGAAGGGTGCTTAATATATGAGGACTACCCCTAGATCTAGCCCCCATCCCCCTACTTGCACCCCTCCACGAGGACCCCCATGCACTTCAAAGGAGGAAACAGAAAGAACCCACCGTTCTGAAGCTGTGGTAAATGCTCAGGCCACGTGACACTGTATAACGCTGTTTGGATTCAAACACTGAGACTCCGCAGTGACACAGTGATTCATCTGCAGCTAGTTACTCAACTGTAGGCGCTGAGAAATAGGCAACCCTGCCTGACCTGCCTCAAACTGAGCCAAAGGTACTGCTGGCCTCGCGAAAGCTCGGCCAGGTGCGAGAGCACCGTGACAGCACCGCTTTGGGAGGCAGGGAGGGCGAAGAGGGGAGACAGGCACGTCCACACCGTAAGGTGCACACCACGCCGGGAGAAGCCTCTGGGCCGAGCCTGATTTTTTTTTTTAATTTTTATTTATTTATGATAGTCATACAGAGAGAGAGAGAGGCAGAGACACAGGCAGAGGGAGAGGCAGGCTCCATGCACCGGGAGCCCGACGTGGGATTCGATCCCGGGTCTCCAGGATCGCGCCCTGGGCCAAAGGCAGGCGCCAAACCGCTGCGCCACCCAGGGATCCCCCCGAGCCTGATTTTTAAGCGGGAAATGAAGAGTTAGGGATTTTTTTTAAGCTACCATACTGAGCCTTTATTTACATCGGTCACCTAGCTGCAATCCCATGGCAACACTAAGAAATTGCTATTCTTACTTCCCCTCTTAGACCCCAGGCAGTGAGGGTGAAAGAAGCGAAGAGGCCCTTCCTGGGGGCTTTTCCGCCCGGGGCCGCAGGCTCCCAGGATGGGGAGCGCCGGGGCCGGGCGGTACAAAACCCCGGGCCCGGGGGAGGCTCCGGCCCAGGCAGGCTGCGGGCAGCGGAAGGGGACGGAGAGGTCTCGCGGGCGCGCGGCCCTCGCCCGTGGTACAGGTCGGCGCGGGGACCAGGGCTGGAAGCCAAACGCAGACAGTTGGCGAGGGCCTACTCGCTGCGGGGAGGGCTTTCTCACGCCCCCTGCTCTTGGGAGACGGCGCCGGAGGTCGGAAGGAAGCGGGGCGAGGGATGAGTCATCCCGCCGAATCCCTCCTTCCCGGTCCCTCGCCTCCGCACGCCGGCCCCCTCCCGAGATCCTGCAGCCGGGAGCGAAGACTCGCTCCTCCTTAGAGTCGGCTACCGAAGCCCCCGCGGCCTGCAGAAGAGAGGAGAGGGACGGGGCGTGCGGCCAATCAGAGCCTCGCCCTCTCGCCGCCAGCCAATGGGCCGCTGCTTACGGGGCAGGGCGGGACCGGGGGGGGCGGTCCGCGGCTGGCGCGCCGCGTCGCGGGTCCGCGGCTCAGAGAGAGAGCGGCTCGCGGAGAGAGCGCCTGGCGGGGAGTCGGCGCCGGATCCACGCGGGAAGGCGCAGCCGCCGCCGCCGCCGCCGCCGGCCGAGGTGCTGGAGACGATAGGCCGGTCGGCCGCCTCGCCCGCTCAGGCACCGTTGCAGCCGCCGCTGCTTCGCTCCCAGCCCGGTCCTCATGGAAGAGATGGAAGAAGAGTTAAAATGCCCTGTGTGCGGCTCCTTCTATCGGGAGCCCATCATCTTGCCCTGCTCTCACAATTTATGTCAAGCGTGCGCCCGCAACATCCTGGTTCAGACCCCGGAGTCTGAATCCCCCCAGAGCCGCAGGGCCTCGGGCTCCGGGGTCTCCGACTATGACTATCTGGACCTGGACAAGATGAGCCTGTACAGCGAGGCGGACAGCGGCTATGGCTCCTACGGGGGTTTCGCCAGTGCCCCCACCACTCCGTGCCAGAAGTCCCCCAATGGCGTCCGCGTGTTCCCCCCGGCTATGCCGCCACCGGCCACCCACCTGTCACCGGCCTTGGCCCCGGTGCCCCGCAACTCCTGTATCACCTGCCCCCAGTGCCACCGCAGCCTCATACTGGATGACCGGGGGCTCCGCGGCTTCCCCAAGAACCGCGTCCTGGAAGGGGTAATTGACCGCTACCAGCAGAGCAAAGCCGCAGCCCTCAAGTGCCAGCTCTGCGAGAAGGCGCCCAAGGAGGCCACTGTCATGTGCGAACAGTGCGATGTCTTCTACTGTGATCCGTGCCGCCTGCGCTGCCACCCTCCCCGAGGGCCCCTAGCCAAACACCGTCTGGTGCCCCCGGCCCAGGGCCGCGTGAGCCGGCGGCTGAGCCCGCGCAAGGTCTCCACCTGCACAGACCACGAGCTGGAGAATCACAGCATGTACTGCGTGCAGTGCAAGATGCCCGTGTGTTACCAGTGCTTGGAGGAGGGCAAACATTCCAGCCACGAAGTCAAAGCTCTGGGGGCCATGTGGAAACTGCACAAGGTGAGTCCTACGAAAACCCACCCCTGACTCCCCGCGCCCCCGATCCCCCGGCTTTGCAGCAGAAGGTCCCCTCTCTGCGCACAGTGCATCCCAGCGGGGGCGCAATGCAGGTTCTCCTGTATCTGCTTCCCCCGTCTGGTGCACTGCAGAAGCGCAGGGGGACCTGAGACCGAGCGCAGGGGAGTTGAATATCCCCGGAGAGTTGTTGCGGGGACGCCTTAGAACGGGCCTCCCGGGCGCCCTCTCTGCCGCGGAGGCGCAGCCTGCGGCCGCCGCCAACGACCCGGAAAGCGCTGCGTAACCCGGCAGAGGCGCGCCCGCGCGGGGGCCTGCCAGGAGAGCTCCGGGGCAGATCCGGCTGCGGTCCTCGGAGACCAAGTGGGGGCGGTGGGGAGGCTCAGAACAGCGGAGGCTGGAGCTGCGGGATTGGCGGGCTCTGCGATTCGCGGCGGGGGCGGGGAGAACTCCGCGGGTGGAATACTGATGAGTGCGCGCTGGCCGCGACCTAAAGTCCTCGCTGGAGCAGATGCAGGACCGGGTGTTTTGCCCCGGGAGACCCGGGAGTGGTGTGGTGCGGGGGCGGCGGGGTGGGGGGGTCGAACCCTGTGGTCGCCACGGCAACAAAGCTGCGGGTCCTGACGGCCCCTGGAGCTAGGGACCTGCGGCTGAAGTAGCGGGACCAGAGGTCTCTGCGTCTAGGCCTGAAAGCTGGGCAGATGCGTAACCCAGGGTAACCCCATCCTCCCAACCACCACACAGGCATTTTGTCCAGGAGTCAACCCTTTCCCCCTTTCAGTAGTCGTCTTTGCAAGCTTTGAGGCACCTGTTACCACCAGACTTACCTTTCTTGTCTCTTTTGACGGTGCCCCCACCAAAGCTAGCTTCAAGAAGGGTCCTTTAACAACGTTTAGGTTTAGGTATGCCACTTATCTGCTCAAAACCCTCCAATCGTCCCCCACATTTCTTAGAGAGTCCCTAGAATGGTCCACCAGGACCTGCTTGACCTGTTCACATTTGGCCTCATGGACCTCATTTCCTCCCCCAGCTACACTGTCCCTCAAAGAACACCAGACAGCTTCCGACCCCGGACCTTTGCGTTTGATGTTCCTTCAGCCTGGGACAGTCTTACCCAAAACCCTATCTTCCAACGGCTCACTCTCTTGCTTCCTTCAGATTGTTGCTCAGATGTTACCTTTGCAGTGAGACCCTTCTAAATACAGTTGCTGCCACTAGCCTCAGACACTGCTAGCTGGCATGCTATATATTTTCATTGTTACTTTTGTATTTATCTATTGCTTCCTTCTGCACACACGGGAAAATAAGCTTTGTGAGGAAAAAGATGTTTATAATAATGTTAAGCCACCCTGCTTAGAAAGAAGGAGATGTGTATAAATTTCACTTTTAATTTTTCAATAATTTGCTTGGTTGGGATGCAAAGGGTAGGGCAGGAGTTCGGGATTATTGTAGGGAGATTTTCATATCATTGAGCTGCAAGCCCAAGGATCAGGCAGGGGAGTAAAGATGGTGTCCAGGCCTCAACTATGTCCCACTCAGGGTTTCCTAGCATTTCTTGGAGACTAGAAGGGCTAGCCTTTGAGAGAGACCATGGGGTTAAGGCTAAAACATTGATATTTTATTTACAGCAAGAAAAGAAATAAGATATCACCATTTTCAATAATCAGGGAGGTTTTCTCAATTTAGTATTCATTGAATGTGATCCATGTTTACAGTTATTTGTGTTCTCACATATAACCTATTAAATCTTATTCGTACTGATGAAAATTTAAGTCAGCACAAATTTGAGCCCTGTTAGGCACATGCCACTATTTTTAAAACACTTCCAATTTAAATGTTTTGAAATGATACTTACTTTTGAAAGTTTTCAAAACTTGAGTTCATGGCCAATTTTTTTTTCATGATATGATTTCACTCTTAAACTGCTAACCATAGCCTATGTTAAGCTGCCTTTCAAAGTTATCCTTGGAAACTAAGAAATTAATCCTTCTGTCTGAAAAAATAATTTAAGAGTCACACACTGATTAGGATGGTCAACCACAGCATTATTTTTCTGTGAAGAGCCTATACTTTATCCATTAAAACCAGAAGCAACCTTTTAATCTTTGTCAAGCCCTGTGTAGGTTTGAAATGTTAAATCATTGATTTTATGAGTAATGGAAATTGTGAGTAGACACTGATGTGGACTGGGTTGAAATTTGGATGTCTATTAAAAAAACAATAATGTCAAAGCCCTTGGGATGTGACATAAGTAAGCTAGAAAAGGAAGGTTGGTCCATTGGGCAAAAAAAAAAAGAAAAGGCCATTTCTTTTCTGATATTTTGCACATTTTTTTCCAAAATAATGAATAGGTATAATTTTTGTTCAGTCAATATCAGAATTATTAAACTGCCCCCCAAAAGGGCAGAAAGATGACAGATTTTAATATTCACTTATTGTCTTAGATGAACAACAAACATTGCTCCTTCATCTTATCTTTTATTAAGGTAGTTAATGTGTTAATGCTGGATTTTCTCATATAGTCTATTTATGTTCTGTTTCCACAAAAGCTCATGGGCCAGAATTTCTATATCCTTCAAAACAGGAGAGCAAAGAATTACATGAAGTAGTTTTCCTAAAGTTGAGCAGTTAATTATCAACACATGTTATTACTAGACTTGAAAGTTTTCATTAATGTTCCACCATATTGACTTAGTCATTTCTGGTGATAAAAAAATTCTGTAAGTATTTCCCTCTAGCACTAAATCATCATCCTACACATTCAAGACAAAATGGCTGAAATTTATTTTTAAAGAGGTTTTAAAAACAACTGTTTGAAAAAAAACTGGTTGAAATTCATTAGTTGTCAATTGACCAAATTAAAATATTTCTCGCACATATATGGCCTTCAAAATATGAAGTAGCCATATAAGACAAATATCTGGTAACAGTTTTTATTTAGTACTAGACTTGTTATATTCTTTAATCCAACTTAGGTTGATATAAAGAATTGCTACACAAAAAAATCATTTTGTAGATACTTTCAAAATAGGCAGTTGGAACCATTATTACTACTTTATAATATTAGTAATTCACATTTCTAAATATAACATTATCCTTGAATTCTTGGTGTGTTTTATTAGTCACTGAATCAATACACTTGTAATCCTTCTGTTGTATTTGTGCTATTGAGCAAGGATTTTCTTTTCCTTTATGAACTAACCACTCTAAATCTTGTCTCAACTATTCTTTTTCTCTTACCTTTTTTTATTGAAGATTTGCAATTTAAGCAGCATCTTATTTTATTTTTTAAAGATTTTATTTATTTATTTATTTATTTGAGAAAGAGAGCCAGTATGGGTGGGGGAGGGGGAAATAAAGGGAGAGGGAGAATGACAAGCAGAGTCCTACCCTGAGTACAAAACCCCCTGGCGGGGCCCAGTCCCACAAACCTGAGATGATGACTCTTGCTAAAACCAAGAGTCAAATGCTCAACCAACTGAGCCACCCAGGCATCCCAGCAACATTTTAAAATAAATTATCAGTTATGCTTTAATTTTCAAAGTATTCTGGAAAATATTATCTGCTTTGTTGTATGTTGGCATTTCATCAAATATTTGTGTAGCCAAGTGTATTATTTAATGTAACTAAAATGATATTTAGTTAACTGTCAGCAGTAAATACAATATAATCTAAATGTCCCTATGATAAATATAATAGGTAGCAGATATTCATGGGTTTTGTATTTTTAAAATTTACATCTTGTACAATCAGAACATTCTGTTCACAGTGTTACAAATCTTAAGGAGAATATATCAGAGAAGTCAGTTGTTCTTCTTTGTACTGAGGCATAATAGAAAGAGCTGAATGACAGGAGATCCTGTTCCAGACCTGATGCTACCACTTAACTTGCTAATAACTTGAAGCAAGTCTCATAAATTTCCGTGCTTCCTACCCAAAAATCTCTATTTGTGGAAATATTTTGAAAAAATAATTTAAATGTTTATACTTACTGATTCCAGTTTGGCACAAGAGAAAATTTTGTGTAAAACAGAAGTTATTGTCTTACTAGTCAACAATTACTGCATAAAAACCTCATCCCCCAACTTTGGGATACCTTGCTTGCTTATTTTAGAGTACAGATGGATTAAAAGGCTACTCTTAAAGGTGGCCCAAAAGGGTAGGCCACATGTTTAGTTAGCTGTCTCATCTCTGCTTCTGTCTCTTGGCAATGGGCCTCTTTGCCCTGCACAGGGCCTGACATGACTCCTCTAGCCCCAATGCAGCAGGATATTTCAGTGCAAGTGTCCACTGTCATCTAAGTAGAGTGTCCCTGTCTCTTCACATTTTCAACTTTAGAGAAAGAATCTTAGTGACTCAGCTTGCATCAGGTAGTGACTGATGACAGTCAGGCCCATGACCCCACTCCTTTGGTGAGGTGGATATAGAAGCCTAGGGTGAGGCAAGTGAGGCACTCACCTCAGGAGCAAAACTTGAGAGGCCCCCAAAACTCAGTAATCAAGATTAAAAATACTGTAATGCTATATCTTAAAAAATAAAAATGAATGCAAAAAAATCCAGGATCAACAAAATATCAACATTTTAAATTCAGGCAAGATCAGTAACAGTGCTATGCTGATCCATATTGGGCCCTGAGTCAAAAAGAAAAATCATTAATATTGGTCCTGTCTTTGTTTAATATTTTGACCTTTGTTCATCATAGAATCTTTGCATTAATCTTTAAAAAAAATTCCACATTAAAGTTGTATTGATGTTATTACTGAGGTTTTTGGCATTTCCTTAAATTCCACATTTGAGGAGAGTGCCTCACATCCCTCACCCCAGTCCCAACCCTGATGGACAGAATCACTTGTTACAACACCTGGCTTCTAGTTTTACTGTTCAGCCAGAGACAACCTCCAGGCAGGTTGCATTTGAGAGCAGTGGGGGCAAGGAGGCACTGACCAGCACTATTGTATAGTCTGAAAGGAAGCCATGCTAGGTGC